GTATTTAACTCCTCTGGGCTAGATCATAGGTCTGGTCTAGTAGGGCACTGCTAACAATTCTGGAGTTCTGATGATGGACCTTCCTCTTTTCACGGTAATACATTCCTGTTCAATGTCAAACTAACCCATAAGAAAACCAAAAGAGAATAGCCCTAAACTGGAATACAGAGATTTCCAGGGCAAAAAGAACTCACATTCATTTGGTATGAGTACCTTGGGTAGCAAGGTTGTACAGTGAATCAAGTGCCTAGCCTGAAGTTGAGAAGATTCATCTTCGTGAGCTCAAATCTGGCCTCAGACACTTACTAGCTGTGTGACCCTGGGCAAGTCACTTAATCCTGTTTGCCTCAGTTTCCTCATCTATAAAATGATCTGAAGAAGGAAATGGCAAACCATTCCAGTATCTTTGCCAAATGGGGATCACAAAGAGTCAGACGTGACTGAAAATGACTCAGCAACAACAACAAAATGAGTACCTTACACTTTATGTTGTTTGGAAGTGTTCTCAAGTTATTCTATACTCACCAAGCAGATAGTACATCAATGAGATTCATAAAAGGAGAAGGAAAAATGCTTAAATGATCTAGAAAAGGATAGAACATAATTAGTGAATGTTAGGGAACCTGAAAACTCCAAAATAAAAAAAAATTTAATCTGAGATTCCTAGAAATAATGGGAAAACAGCAAGGAATCCTGTAATAGTTCAGAAGACAAATAAAAATAAATAAAATAATGATTGAAAGAAGAAATAATAATGCAAATTAGGAAAGATCAGAGATGTCAAAGAAAAAATCAATACTGCTAATAAAAGATTATATAAGTTGATAAACAATGGAGAATCTGTCCAGAATAGCAGCTTCTGGAAAAAAAATAATAAAAGAATGGCAGATTGGGAGTTCAAATACAGGAATACAGAAGAAAATTTGACAAAAGAATTTTTAAAAACACACTGGAAGAAAACATAAAGTTCTATAAATGCCAAAGTGATTGACCTAAATGAATAAATACACAGAAATAATTTAAAAATCATATGTCACTCAGGAAAAAATGATTAATTTAAAAAGACTAAATACCATGGTGCAAGATCTCCAATCACACATCTTCCAACTGCCTTTCAGACATCTCAGAATGGATGTCCAGGAGACATCTTAAACTCTACATGTCCAAAACAGAACTCGTTATCTTTTCCCTAAATGTTCCCTATGTTCTACCTTCCCTATTACTCTAGAGGACATCATCATGTTCCCTGTCTTTCAGGCTCACAAGTTTCATGTGGTCCTCCACTTCTCACTATCTCTCACCTCTCATATCCAATCCATTGCCATGATCCGTGGATTTCAACTTTGCAACATCTCTCGTATGCCCCCTTTTCTCCTCTGACACAGCCACCACTCATTTCATTGCCTGGACTCTTACAAAGCCTAATGATGGGTCTGCCTACCTTAAACGTCTCTCCACTGCAATCCATCATCCCCATTTAGTCACCAAATAGATTTTCCTAAGGTGCAGGTCCAACCATGTCAGCTCCCTACTCAATAAACTCCAGTGGTTATTGAGGAAAATCAAATCCAATACCTCAGAATCATTATTTGACTATGCAAAATTAGAGTTTGAAATATGATATTCCAAAACTCAAAAGAGAGCAAGTTGCGTCTACAAATAACTTCCTGGAAATTTGACCTTAATCATCAATGACAAAAAGATGAATTTTTAAGAAAAACGGAGGAATTTAAGTCACTTCTTTAAAAGAAACCATATGTGAGTGGGGGTATTTAACAAGCAAACAAGTCAGACAAAAGACATACAAGAAAAATAAGTAAGGATAGTTAACAGGAAAAGAATAAAAATTGAAATCAGTGCTTCTAGTACAAAATTAAGTTATTGTAACATCAGGAATAACAACAAATAACAGCTTTGACATTTGTCAAGGACCAAAGGAAAGGCCACGCCAAAGAGGGAAGAGAAAGGCATTGTTTGGAAGGAATTTGTTCTGCTTTCCTATTGGGAGGAGGAAGTTTTAAAAAAAAAAAAAAAAGCCAAGCCAAATTATGTGCCATGGTGACATCAACTGGTTACAAGTGGAAACTACAAATGGGATTTAAAATGTTTTTTTATTTTAAATTCTTCTTGTCTCATTTAAGCAAAAGTTCCTGAATTACTGCTGTATACATTTAATACATTATACCATAAGAATTTTAACTTTGATTTTAATGAATTTTGTTTTTTTTAATAATTTATGTGAATTCAATTTTTGTCTGAAACATGGTTACACTTATAATAAGATTAAAAAGGTTACAATTCCTAGTTATTAATTCAGCCAAAACATTACTCCCCTTTGCCTTCACATTCACTACAGCAAAAGCAGCACAAGTCAGCCATCCTCACAGGGCAGAGGCATTTCCTTTAAACCTCCACAGCACCAATTCCACATAGACTAGGCATTATGCCAGTAGACCTGAGCATGACCTTCTTCCTTCATTCAAGGAAAGCCACCTCAGCCCATGTAAAATACTATTCTTACTACACCTAGGGTGATACAGCTAGCAAGTATGTGAGGGAGAATTTAAACCCACGTCTTCTTGACTGTCTCCTAGTCTCAGGAGCTGATCTATCCTCAAAGCTGGAAGGCGAAAACTCAGGACAGGAAGAGTTTGGGCACCTGGGTCTTTCCTCACATATTGGTTCTCTCATTTTCTTGAAGGATCCAGAATCTCTTCTGCTTCTTTTCAATCCTGTTGCTTTTTAAAGCTCACAATATACTCTGGAACAGTGGAATATTCCAATATGTTACTGGAATAATGCTGTGGAATTGGGTACATAATTACACAATGTACTCTTTTTTTTTTTTGCTTTTTTTTTTTGGTGAGGCGATTGGGCTTAAGTGACTTGCCCAAGGTCACACCGCCAGTAAGTGTCAAGCATCTGAGGCTAGATTTGAACTCAGGTCCTTCTGACTCCAAGGCTAGAGCTCTATCCACTGTGCCACCTAGCTGCCCCAATAATGTACTCTTAATGCACCTTGGTGGTGCCAAGGTAGTAACTGCCTCATTTCATATGACATTGTAGGTCTTATAGCCAACAATGCTGTGCCTTTGGTACAACTGGAAATGATATCAGCTGTTACCTGATACCAGGTCGGGTCATAAAGGATTGGGCCTTTATTTGAGCTTTGAGAACCCTTCACCATATTCTTTTTTTTATATATATAACAAAAGGATTAAAGTGCTGTTACTTCAGAGCATATTTGCATTTTAAAAGTTCTGACAAGTAAGTCCCAATAAAAGTCCTATCAGAGGCAGATGACTTTTTCTCCTATACTTGCAAAAATATGTAAAACAATACCACTCTTCTCACACTTTTTTTTTGTTTTTGGAAAAATATTCCTTTTTTGTAAAAATGTTATTTTAATATATAATGAGTTTATTACTGCTATTTTAAATATTTCTAAAAATTATACATTTTAATTTCTAGTATTATTAACTATTGATGTATGTAACCCACATAAATAAAAGTTCTTTGGGGTCCTTAATAAATTTTCTGAGTGTAAAGAGGTTCTGAAACAAAAAAATTTGAGAACTCTTTGTCCCAAAGGTAAGTCTCCAAAACCCAGGAATAGCAGGGTCCCCCTCCCAGACCACCAACTCTGCTTCCAGCCTGCTCCCTGTAACTATCATCCAGGAAAGCAATTGTTGTGGAGATGGGACCTGGCAAATGCATCTGTAGGTGGAGAAATCCCCTGCCTCAGCAGCCATGGTTACCCAGAACTGGAAAAATAAAGTTCTTGCCACCAGAATTCTCAGCACAGGCAAATGATTCAGAATCAAAAATTGATATAGTTTTATCATTGGAAATTACATTAAAGAAGATTCCTTACCATCTGCTTCATTGCTTGTATTCTAAGGACCACTGGGCCTTTTCATTCATTCACTCATTCATTCGCTCACATTCCTGTTGTGTCTCAACCTGAAATTTCATTGGCCTAGGGAAATCTGAGTATGGAAAATCCATCTAGCAATAGGGATCTTCATGCCTTCAGTACAGGTCTTCATCCTGCAAGGCTGGCTTTCTATTCACTAAGTCTTTCTGGGCCTTACAGCAAAATTTAGTCTCATGTGAAAAACTACAGATAATCCTTCATTTTTCAAATAGACCTGTCCTAGTGAACACATAGCCGAACATCTCAATTCTTTATTTCTCATATTCCAAATCCTATGTGCCTTGTTTTTTTTTTTTCTGATTAACAAATATGATTTGAATTGTAGCATAGCCTACTTTGAAATACACTTTTAATGCTTTGGAACTACAAGTTTCAATATGAGGAGTCCATATAGTTTACCGAGGAGGTCCCCCTTTCCCTCTATGGGGCCATGTACCCACCAAACTGAAAACTAAATCATGGTCTTGCTCTGGATGGCAAAATCATATGGTCAGCTCTGATATAGTATTGGAACAAGGGAGCCTTCTCCCGCTGTATAAACTCCCCTGTTTGGCACACCTGGCCCCAGACTACCTTTCCAGAGGCATCATATATTTACCACCTGTCTGCACTCCGTGGATGGCTTTCTTGCTGGTCCTCACACAATTCATTCTTTCCCTACTTCAGTTCCTTTGTAATGGCTGTACCCCACGCCTCGAATGCCCTCTCCTAGTCATTTCTTCCCACCAAAGAAACTTCTATTCTTTAAAAAAAAATTCTCCTTCTTTCCTACTTATGTCACCAGGCATTATTACATTTTATTTTTCTACAATCAGATTGCAATGTGTTCAAATCAAGAAGCAATTATGAAGAGCCTGCTATAATGCGAGGCACTGTGCCAAGTGCCGAGGGTACGAAGGGGATAAAAAAAAGGGCCTGCCCTCAAGAGGCTCCCAAGTCCAACTGCAGCGCCAGCGCACAGACACTGTGTGCACGCGAGATAAAGCCCGGCGACGGTGTTTGAGGGCGCCTAACTAGGGCTGGTCCGGAAGGGAGTGGCTGCGCACAGGGTTTGGTTTTCGGAACTAGGTGGATGTGGAGGGCGCGGCGGGCTGCAGATGCTTCCCACACCGCCGGACACCTCGATGAGCAAAGGGTGGGGCTGTCTTCCTGTCCCGCCCCGCCCTCACAGGCTTTCGCCGAGAGCCCAGCGCGACGCCGGTGTCCTTGGCCCCCGCCCCACTCCTTCTGCCGGCGGTCCGGAGCCAGGACCAAAGACGTCCCTCTGCATTCCGCACTGCGGAGCACCCCACGGTGCATCCCGGCCGGGGGCTATCATGAGCCGCGGGCCCCGGAGTGCGCCTCCCGCGCTGGGGCTGCTCTGCCTGGCACCATCGTTGCTGCTGCTGCTGCTGCTGCTGCTGCCCTTGGCGCGCGGTGAATGGCCGGAGGGCGCGCGGGATTGGGGGAGGAACAGAGAGGGAAAGGCATACGCAGACTGAGGGGAAGGGTGCGTTGTCATGGCCACGGAGAGGCCCGGGAGGAGAGAGGACGAAGGATGGGTGGTCCTTGTCTGGAGCCTTCGGGACTCCCGCTGGCCTCCCCAGCAGAGGCTAACGGGAGGAAGTATCAAGGAAACCAACCAACCAAATACCGCCAATAAAAACAAGATAAATCCACCCCAGGTTAAACTGCTACACGACTAATAAAGATAGAAACAGATGCTTTGTGGAGCCCTCAGGAGGAAGTGATGGTGATTGGTGATGTCTGGGATGTCCTCCAATGGGGATTGTCATTGTACCAGAAGTGATCCGCAAGTGACTCTTTTTCTCTCTTCAGTATTTCTTCTTTTTCTCTCTCCATGTAGGTAACTGTGATGTCCCAGAAAAGTTACCATTTGCGTTGATGTCAGGGGATTCTGCTGGCCGGGAAAGCTTTCCTGAGGGTTACAGTGTGACGTATACTTGTCGACCAGGTTACCAAAGAAACCGTAATTTCCAACCTACACGTACTTGTCTTGCAGATGGAACATGGTCCAAGGCAACCAACTTTTGTGAAAGTTAGCATTCTTAAAACTGTTACTCTTCCCTTTTCCATTAATTTTCAAAAGAAGCTTTTACTCCCTCTATTCCTGCATTTAAACCCTTTGATTTTAAGTATTAGAGTAATGTACTTTTAGCACATAGATGAATTAAGATAGATGTCCTGGATGAAAACATGAAATTTAGCCATTCTGAAAAGGCCACTGACTATGTTATGTATCAGAATTTACTGATTTTTGCCAGAAAATTGAAACAAAACTTCAATTAAATTCAGTAAACATTAACTAAGTATTTAACATGCAAGGTCTTGGGGGTACAGAGACACTGAAGGAACTTTGCATTCTTCTGAGGAGATCTAGCACTTACTCAGATAATGAAATACAAGAATATCAGAAGATGAAGAGGGACATCAGGGAAAAAGTCAGGAAATCAGGAAAGGCTTCTCTAGGAGCCCCTAAGTTGAATGTTGAAGGAATCTAAGAATTCTGAGAGGTAACTGTGAGAAGAGGACCAGTATGAATACATGGTGGACAGAATGAGAGGCATTATAAAGGTTGCATGGACAGGACTTTGTAACTGATTGGCTTCAGAAGTGAGGGAGAGTAGAGTCAGTGATGATTCTGAGGTTGTGGACCTGGTGAACTGGAAAGATGGTGAAGCCTTCAACAGAAATAAGAAAGTTTGGAAGAGGGGTGTGTTTAGAGGGAAAAAGAAGTTCTGTTTTCATCATGTTAAGTTGGAATTACTTATGGGACATTTAGATGGAAATGTCCAACAGGCAGTTGTTGAAGCTCAGGAGAGAGCTTAGGGCTGGATTTAGAGGTTTAAGAATCATCAGCATAGAGATCATAACTGAACCTATGGAAGTTGATGATATTGACAAGAGAAAGAGTACAAAGAGAGAAAAGAGGATGACCCAGGGTACTGGCTCTGGAGTCAAAGGACTTCAGTTCAAATAGTCACTTAATCTTCAGAGACCTCACTTTCCTCATCTGTAATGTGAGGGGGTTGGATTAAATGGCCTCTGAGGTGTCTTCCAACTCACCTATGATTAGAAGGCAGGGCATGGATGATCAATTAGCAAGCCAGAAATTGCCTTTTGTGTACATACAGGATTACTTAAGTAGGAAAAAAGTAATGGATATTAGATCTTGGTATAACTACGATTTGTAGCATATATGTACTAATCATGGCCATTTGTAGTGGACTCCAGAAATAGTTAATGGGGGAACACAAAAAATGATGACCCTTCTAGCAACCTGATCATTAGCATCTTCAAACTTCTAAACCCCAGTGACCATATTAAAATTAATCATTAGCTTGGTCATACCATAGAACTCACTAACTCTTAGAATTCTAAAATCTCCAAGGTCTGACACTTTGACATTGTATTCTCTTGCCAGAACATTCCATCCTTTCAGTTTTCCCTCTCTTTCACTAACATTAAATCTACCCTTGACTCTTTGCAATTTGAAGGTAGCATTTTTGCTTTTTCTTTGTATCCTCGGGGCTTATCCTACTCCACACACATAGATAAGGGCTTACTAAATGCTTGTTAAATGTGACTTGCAGTTCCTTAACTCAAGAAATATCAAACACAAGGTCCTTTGGGTTGCAGCCCAAGTGTGGTAGGACCAGGTTAAAATGTAATTGGGAAATATTTAACAAAATAAGTAAAAATATAACAGAACATAGGTAATGGTAATACATAGTTTTCTAAGTCAGCATGCAGTTTGTAGGGGTCCTTATGTGTGGTTTAGTGGCCCCCCTCCTATTTGAGTTTGACACCATTGCCTTATCCCATCACTGTGCTCCCAGTCCATCTCTCATTCCTGCTTCCCTTTGCTCCCTACTCACCTTTGACCCCAGGTCTATCACTTTAATATTTCACTAGCTACTACTCCAGAATCCCTTGTACTCCTGACCTCTCAGTTGATTCAGCCTTTCTCCAACCGGTCAGCTCTCCGCCAAGTGATCCTGCTCTTACAGTGAGCATAGTTCCCAGTAAAACAGCCCCAGAACCTGCCTGTCAGCTTCTTCGTTCTGTCCTTTGTAAACATCTCCTCCTATTTCCTTCTGTGTCTTTTGTCCCCTACTTCTCCGGCAAGCATCATCCCCTCCAGCCTCCATCTTTATCTGATTGTTGCCTGTCTCATCATATGGTTTCTGAAACCTCAAGTCAAGGCCTTCTCAACAGCAATACCTTACATCTGATTTATGAACCTTAAAAATCCCATCTTCCTGTCAGGTATGACTCCATGCTAATGGTCCCTAAACAGTTAGTTGATTTATGATTTCTCAGGTATAACCTTTAAAACTCTGAAAATAGTCATATGTCAGTGAGCTAGTGAACCACAATGTCCTGAAACCATCTTAAAGTCAGTTGGGCCTCTGTCTTCAAACAGATCCTCTCAGTGTATTTATTTATGTTATTATAAATTTAATATAATATAACATAACACAACACTACACTACATCATATTACATTATATCATATATTATATCATATCATATTATATGAGGAGCAGTTTTCTCTCAGGTCATCAGAACAAGTCTTTGTTTTGCTTTTAACATTTTTATCTGAGGATGTGTGTTTCTTCTGACACTGTTCTTTTTCTGAAAAAAAAAATGCCCACATACAAAAGTACATTATACAGGAAAAATGACTAAACTGTTCATAACCTTTGACCCAGTGATACCACTATTGAGCATGTGTCTTCTTTCCTTATTAGAATATAAGCTCCTTGAGGGCAAGGACTGTCTCACTTTTGTATTTGTAGCCCTATGGCTGAGCACAGTGCTTGGCACCTAATAAGTAAGCCCTTAAAAAATACTTTTTCATTAATTCATTCATTCATTAGAATTCATATTTGATATGATGAGAGGACAAGTTATCACATTATAGTGACCTTTACTTCAGAGAACTTATGAAATATACAGCTCTTCCCTCAGTGCAGAGTACTGGTACATTGTTTTGCCTGACTCACTAAACCTGCTCTTCTTTGCAACTTCACTATTATTGTCTTTGGTACCACCATTCAGCCAGTCTCCAGTGGCTAGAATTTTAGGTTTATTTTCCAGTTGTCACTTAGTTCTCATATCCATATAGCTACTCCTATTGATTCAATAGGAGTGTCTTTTGCATGGTCCCTTCCTCTCTCTTTCCACTGCAACTATCTAGAATCAGGCCCCTATTATTATCTGCATAGACCATGGGTTTTTTGTTTGTGTTTGTTTTTGTTTTTGTTTTTGTTTTATTTATTTTAGTTTAGTTTATTTATTTAGTTTGTTTATTTAGTTTAGTTTATTTATTTAGTTTATTTAGTTTAGTTTATTTGTTTTATTTATTAAGACTAGGACTTCATATTTCACCCAGGATAGAAGTGTAGTGGCCACTCATGGGCCAGATCCCAGTACTGATTGACATGGGAGCTTTGACCAGCTCCATTCTAACTGGGCCAGTTCTCCCCTCCTTAGGCCATCTGGTGTCCTCTTCCCAGAGCCTGAATATCTTGGTGTTCGACTTTGTGTGGACACTTGATCAGCTCAGCCTACTGCAGCTCAGAACTCCCTAGTTACAGCAGTCCACTAGCGTCAGCCTTCCTAATAGCAGAAATTACAGCTTCAGACCACTGTTCCCAACCCTGCCTGGACAACAGCAATAACATCCCGTCTCTCCCCTTTCCAATCCGTACCTTATATCACTGTCAAAAACAAACAAACAAAAACCCCAATTGCTCCATTCTTCCTAGTTATATCATGCTTCTGGCCAATAATATTCAGTGGCTCCCTATTACCTACCAAGTAAAGTTCATCTTCCTTTTTTTTTTTTTTTGACATTCAAGGACCCAAACAATCTGGGTTTATGCAGCCTTTCTAGCACTAGCTCATATTATTTCCTTCCACATAGTCTAAGTTTGTTAAGCTCTTTGCCTTTCCGCCCCTGCTCTCCCACCCCCACTACCAGGGTCTTAAGTACCAGCTCTTCTAAGTGCTGAAACAAATATAAAGTTAAAATAAGACGCAGCCCTTATACTTATGGAGCTTGTAACCTAGTAGCTGAATAAGACACCAGCACAAATAGTTGTACTATACACAATATATGATAAGTATATTAGGGAATAACAAAGTGCCCTGATAGAAATGAAAGCAAGGAGGGAGAATTAGACAAGGTTTCATGGAGAAGGTGGCATTTGAATTGAGCTTTAACAGATAGGTTCTTAATAAATGTTTACATAATCTTAATTATTTATTTTGTTTTGGTTTGGTTTGGTTCGAGAAGAATTTTCTTTTTTTTAATAGTATTTTATTTTTTCCCAGTTGTATATCAAGATAATTTTTAGCATTCGTTTTTACAAGATTTTGAGTTCCAGATTTTTCGCCTTCCATCCTTCCTTCCCCACTTCTTGAAATGGTAGGCAATTTGATATAGATTATATATGTGCGATTTTGTAAAACGTATTTCCATATTAGTCACAGTTGTGAAAGAAAAAAACATCAAGAGGAAAAAAGCATGAAAAAAATAAAGTAAGTGAAAAAAAGTATGCTTTGATCTATATTCAGAGTCTATCAGTTCTTTATCTGGATGTGGGTAGCATTTTCCATCATGGGTTCTCTGTACTTGTCTTAGATCATCGTGTTGCTGAGAAGAGCTAAGTCATTTATAGTTGATCATCATACATGTTGCTGATACTATGTATGATGTTTTTCTGGTTCTGCTCATTTCACTTTGCATCAATTGGTACAGATCTTTCCAGGTTTTTCTGAAATCTGCCTGCATATCATTTCTTATTGTATAATAGTATTCTACTACATTCACATACCACAACTTGTTCAGCCATTCTCCAATTGATGGGCATGAGGAAGAGTTTTTAATTAGGGTCCACTGCCCCCAAATATCTCAGTATAATTATGACCCTGATTTTAAAAACTAATATGTGCTTCACATAATGTGAAATGGCAACTAATTCTCACTTTATTTCTTTTTTTTCACTTTATTTCTTACTAGAAAAACGGTGCCCTAACATTGGAGAGCTAGCCAATGGTCATGTTAATATCGAGGAGGACATTGTATTTGGTTCAACTATTACTTTTAGTTGTGATAAAGGGTAAGTTGCTAACTTTGATGTGTCATTATATTTATTATTATTGATAAATAACTGAAGAACCAAAATAAGGTTGAAATTTCTATTTTTAATTCTCTGTAGTCTACGGTTACTGAGGATCCTTTCTTTAAAAATTCTAAAACCTTCCTTTGCCAAAAATGTGAAGGAATAGGTTAATAGCTACTTGTATTCATATTAGGGCAGCCCAGAGTTCTTTATGATTTTTGTTGTTATGATCTCAAGCTAATTGTTGCACTTGTGTGTTATATATTTCATTGATCTTAACTGGTTCAGAATGATTTCATATTATAATTCATTTTTGTTATTATTGACCTTGTATTCTTACATCACCTATATTTCACAATATTTCCTCTCCCAATCCCACCCCACCCACACTCCCCTACCCCATGAAAGCCACCTCTTGTAACAAAGAATTAAAGAGGTAAAGAAAGCAGGTCAGCAAAACAATTTGTTTCATCAGATAAGTCCAACATACTAAATTATATGCAGTGATCTATATCTGTGGTCCTATGCCTTTGCAAAGAAAAAAGGAAGTTTATTTTCATATCTCTTCTTTGAGGACAAAATCGGTCATTATAATGTCAGCGATTCTGTTGCTCATTTCATTTATATTGTAATCATCATGTATATTGTTTTTCTGGTTCTGCTTACTTCATTTTTCGTCAGTTCATGTATCTTCCTTTGTTTCTCTGTAGTCCTCATAGTCATCATTTCTTGTAATGTGGTAATATTCCTTCATATTTATATACTACAATTTGTTTAGCCATTTTCAATCAATGGGTATCTACTGAGTCCAGTTTTTAGAGAATAGATAGCATGGGGAAGTCCTACATTTAAAGGACACAATTGGATTGATTTTCATTAGTTAAATCTTGGAAACTCAGTTAATATTGTGGGGATACTTAGAGAGTAAACTTGCATAAAGGCCCTCTTCTGAGATCTAGTCCACCATTTTCTCGTAATGTTTTGGTGTCAGGGAGATAGTATCCTTAGGAGATGGTTCTGGATTATACCTCCCATGATACTTTTGGAGCAGACTCCTTCACTGGGGGAATTTGCAATAGAATATAAACCAGGTTGTTCTTAAAAAAAAAGTTTTAGAACCTCTTTTCTCACTGTTGTCAAACTTTTCATTCATTTCCATTCAATCTGTACCTTCTCCCATACCTGGCATCACTCAACTTATTTTCCCCAATCTCAAGTTGAGAGTTCAGTAACTCTGGTCTCCTTAAACCTGTTACTGAAGTAAAGGTTTGTATTTATCTCAAGTAAGAAAGGACCCCAGAGATCACTTAGCCCAACCCATCCTTGAAGTATGGATCTCCTCAAATGGTCTTCCACTCTTCACTTTGAAAATGTACAGTACGAGGGAATTCATAATAGTAACAACTCACTTTTCTGTTGTGCTTTAAGGCTTACAGGTAAATTCTTTTGTAAAACTTGTATCAACATCCTACAGAATAAATAAGGAAGATAAGGAAGCTAAGCTCAGAGAAATTAGGTGATTTGCCCATGGATGTACAACTAACTAGAGTCAGGGTCAAGATTCAAACTGCTGTTCTTTGCCTTAGTGAGAACCATATCTAGAATCTTTTGTTCAGTTTTAGTTGCCACATTTTAGGAAGGATAATGGTTATTTTTAGCAAGCATTCAAAACAAGGTGACAGGAATGATGAAGGGCCTTAGATCATGCTATAATACAGTCAGAAGAAAGGAGTAGAGGGTGTTTATCTGGAGAAAAGAAGGCTTGGGGGAAGTCAGGAAGAAGGAAAAGGGTTGAAAAGGACAGTGCAGTAACTATCTTCTAAGTATTGTCTGGCAGCAGTCACTGTGGAGGCCTCAGGAAGTGATCCCTTGAAGTCCCAACTCCTCTTCCCCCTCTCTTCAGTGGGTATAGGAAAGTCCTGGTGGGAAGTAACCTGTCTAGTTGGAAATAATGAGATTAGCTTGTGAAGGTTTTAATATAGGACAAAGGTCCCAGTTCCACCTGGCTTCCTCTCTCTGAAAAGTTACAGAACTTAAAAAAAAAACTGAATTGCAGATAGAATTTATAAAATGCTATGAGCCCTGTTGATTTCCAAGAAGAGAGGGTAATTTCCTGGCCAGTTGAATTTAACAATTATCCACAGATTTCCTTCCTTTATCATCCTTTCTATAGAAAAATAAATAAGTAAACTCAGGATACTGAAGTAAGGGAGGTATAGCTCTCCCAATATTTCCCTCCAATTAACTTTAAAATAACACCTCAAATTGAATCATGGAATGGCAGAGCCAACAGCCAAAGATAATTTAGGAGGTTGGAAAGAGAACTCTATGACATGAGGGTGGAGGCTGACCCATGCGGATAAAACAACAATGGTGGGATGCCGGTGTAGTGACAGAAGCAGCTGCAGGTTTGGGTGCTGTCAAGTTAGTCGTGGTAAGGGGACTTGGCAGCTAGTTAGAAAGAGATTACAAGGGACTCCTGTTCTAGCGCTGAACAACAGGGCCAGACTTTATTTGGCAACTCCATTACCTATGTCCACTTCTGGATTATAGCTCAAGGGAGGAGAGGAGTACTTTCAGTCAAGAGGGAGTAGAATCCCTGAGCAGCAGTATCACTTCTGGCCCCAAGGGATCAGGGACTCTGAGAACAGTTTTGTTTCTGGTTCCAAGGAAGGAGGGCCATACGGAGCAGTATTAATTGCAATCTCAAGGGGTCAGGAGCCTTTCCTGGGTAAGGGCCAGTAGACCAAGAGAACAGTGACCACACTTTTCCCCAGACCACCTTGGAAGCACAGAAGACTTCAAGACCTCCAGAACTAGCTCTGAAAACAACAGTGTGAAAAGACCTGAAGCTTGAGACAGAGCGCCTCCCCCTTCAAGCTGAGAAGAGAGCCCAACACTAACATAAGGTTCCAAATCAAGAAATAGAGTGAAAAAAATGAGCAAACAACAAAAAAAGAACCTGATCATAAGAAACTACTATGATAACAGGGAAGACCAAAGCACAAACTCAGAAGAAGATGACAATGAAGTCAAAACAGCTACAAACAAAGCCGCAAAGAAAAATGTGAAGTGGATACAAGCTCAACAAGAATTACTGAATGAGGGACAGCTAGGTGGTGCAATGGATAGAGCACCAGGCCTGGAGTCAGGAGGACCTGAGTTCAAATCTGACTTCAGACCAGACACTTGACACTTACTAGCTGTGTGACCCCGGGCAAGTCACTTAACCCCAATTGCCTTGCCAAAAAAAAAAAAAAGAAAGAAATTCCTGGATGAGCTAAAAAAAAACTTTCTAAAATCAAATAAAAGTGGTAGGTGAAAAATTAGGTAAAGAAATTAAAGCAAAGGAAGAAAATTATTAAGACAACTAACACCTTCGTAAAAGAGGGACAAAAGGAAATACTCAAGAAAACAGAATTTGCCAAATGGAGAAAGAGGTACAAAAATTCACTGATAAAAACAACACCTTAAAAAGCAGAATTGGCCAAATGGGAGAAAAAGGTGTTTTCACTGAAGAAGTTAAATTCTAAGAATTAAAATCAGCAAGTGCAAGATAAGACTCCATGAGACATAAGAAATTATAAAACAAAACCAAAAGAAAGAAAAAATAGAAGACAATGTGAAATATCTCATTGGAAAACAACTGGCATGGAAAATAAATCGAGGAGAAACAATTTAAGAATTATTTGACTACCTGAAAGCCATAATAAAAGAAAGAGCTAGACATCATATTTCAAGAAATTATCAAGGAAAACTACCCTGACATCCTAGAAACAGAGAATAAACTAAAAATTGAAAAAAATCTACTGATAACCACCTGAAAGAGAACCGTAAGTGAAAACTCCCAGGATTATTATAGCAAAATTCCAGAGCTCCCAAGTCAAAGAGAAAATGTTTTAAGCAGTCAGAAAAACACCACTTAAATACTGTGGAGGCACAGTCAGGATCATACAAGATTGAGCATCATTAAAGGAGCAGAAGGCTTCAAATATGATATTCTGGAGGGCAAAAGAGTTCAGATTACAACCAAGAATAACCTACCCAGTAAAACGGAGTATAATCCTTCAAGGGAAAAAATGTATATTTAATGAAATAGAGAACTTTCAAGCATTCCTGACGTAAAGACCAGAGTTGAATAGAAAATTTGACATTCAAACACAAGACTCAAGAGAAGCATGAAAAGGTAAACATGAAAAAGAAATCATAAGGACACAATAAGGTTAAAAGGTTTACATTTCTATATGAGGAGATATAATGTACAAAAATATTTATAGTAGCTCTTTTTGTGATGGCAAAGAATTAGAAATTGGTGAGATGCCCATCAACTGGGGAATGGCTAAACAAGTTGTAGTTATTTGATTGTGATGGAATGCTATTGTGCTATAAGAAATGGCAAGCAGGAGATTTTCAGAAAAACCTGGGAAAACTTAGATGAATTCATGCAAAGTAAAATGAGCAGAAACACTAGAACATTGGACACTGTAATAGCAATATTGTAAAGGATGACTTGGCTACTCTGATCCAGATGATCTAAGACAGTTCCAAATGACCCATGATGAAAAATGCTCTCCATCTCCAGAGACAGAACTGATGAACTCTGAATGCAGATTGAAGCATACTTTTTTAAACTTTATTCTTATTGTTTTATTTTTAGTGAGTTTTTTTTGCAACATGGCTAATATGGAAATATGTTTTGCATGACCTCACATATATAATTGAAATCAAATTGTTTGCCTTCTCAAGGAAGGGAGTAAGGCAAGAGTGAGGGAGAGAATTTGGAACTCAAAATTTTTGTGAATGATTATTAAAAAATTTTTGTTAATGTAATTAGGAAATATTTAATGAAATAAAATCTTAAATTAAAAAATACTTTACTTTTATCTAGAAAACCATTGTTCACAATGGCCAGGAAGTAAAACTTTTAAAAAGCAAAGAATTCTTACATAATGAACAATGCTGCCCTGAGAGTGCAGTACATACACCATGGTCAGCCA